GAAATCACCCCTGGGGGAGATGGCCATAACACAATCCCTTCTCCTCCATTCTCCTCTTGGGATCTTGGGCACGCATGTACACGTGCCTGGCATGAGTTTAAGCCACTGGGTCTGGGACTCAAACCAAGGTTGACTACGTGGGAGTTCAGAGATGTAACCATTACACCATCTACTGGTCCTGGAGGTTACTTAATTCTAATAAAACCTTTCCTGAAGCCTTAATAGACCCAAAGGAATTGATTTCTTTAATTTCTTTCATGTGAGAAAGAAAGAGTTCAGTGACACTAGTAAGATCTTCCTTGCCCCCAAACAACACCATGAAAACCACAGAGTACTTGTTTATGTGTTATATGATTTAATTCTCACAACGAAACTGAAGTCCAGTTTATAATTTCTAACTGAGGACCTAATCCAGCAGAGTGACTAAATGACAGACATTGGACATGAAATGTGGGGCTGATTCCCGGCATGGGCTCCTGTTGAAGCTGGTCAACCTGGGCAGGACCACTGAGATCATCATCCTGCTATCATCCCCTCAGCAAAATGGCAGCCCACTCCAGGGTCCGGGGGAATAGGACCTAGATGGGCATCTAATCCCAGCCATAGTTGTAAATGAGTAGAGGCATGAGTTTATTCTATTCTATTTTCAGTGGTTTGGGGAGGATTATGAGATCACAGAACAGTTAGAAGAGTTATTAGGATGCCTTTGGGTTTCCAGAGATTGAGGAAAACATATGAAGACAGCAGTTCTCAAACTTTTGTCTCAGGAAGCCTTTACACTCTGCAAAAGTATCAAAGATCTCGAAGAGTATTTGTTTATCTCTGTTATTTCTACTTAACATCTTTTACTAAAATTCACTAATGAACCAGTTATTGAATTTTAATTGGCAAATATACATTATATATAAATATTACACATATTAATATTAAATATACATATTTATTGTACATAGCATGTTTTGAAATATATACATATTGTGGAATGATTTAATCAAGATGATTAACCCTCATGCTTGTTAGTATTTTGTGGCAATAACACTTCAAATCTACTCTCATCAGTTTTCAAGAATACAATTCACTGTTATTAATTACAGTCACCATGTTATATAACCTCTTGAAATATTTATTATATATTTACTATATTAATTTACTTAATTTATAGTCATGATATTGGAAATTAAAGTTGAGAAATTTTAAAAATTACCTCTTAAAAATAACAATGACAACAATACCTATATTAATATGTTTTTATGAAAATAGTTATATATATTTTAAGTTTACCAGAAGGCATGTATATTCACCAGAAAGAGACAAAGAGGAAGAGGGAGACACTACCTCACAAGGGGACAAGGTCATGGAAACATCCCTTCTATTCCATTTCTCCAACTTGTCAGGATTTGGAGCACACGCACACACATGCCCAGTGTGTTTTTTGTGCCACTGGGACTGGATTTCAAATTGTGAGATCAGCCATGTGGAATCTAGCTCTTTTAAACACTAGGTCACAGAGCGAACACAATTATACTTATTTTTAATTATAGTAGAACAAAAAAAATGAGAAAGTGGTAGTGTGTTCAGTTTTGCAAATTTCTTTCAGTCTGGTTTAGTAGAAGGTGGCTGGATTCTCTTATCTGATTTGCTTCTGCATTTTAGTCTGTTGTGAAATCACACTTGTGTAGCCCGTCAAAAATTCCTCTCTACGGTCAAAGGAGCATGAGAGCGGAAAAGACAAATAATGTCTTAGCATTATTATGAATAATGTTGATCTCAGAAATCTACATTTTGAGAACCACCGAATTAAAGAGGCATTACAAATCCTCATTTTAATTTCGTTGATGACAGACTCTACACAAAAAAACAGGAGCATCAGTACTTCATAGCTCCAGGACTATTGCTGACAGGCCTAAGGCTGTGATGGTTGATTTTAGTATGCAATGGGAATGGCAGGAATGAATTACTGGAAGAGTTGTCCAAGAGAATGGAAACATGTTGATGATGCATTAAAGAATGAGAAGTTTGGGACCAGCAGTTAGTGTAATGGCTATGTCGCTGAACTCCCATGTAGTCAACCGCGGTTCAAGTCCTGGACCTGGTGTCTTAAACTCATGCTGGGCGTGTGGGCATGCGTGCCCAAGATTCTGAGAGGAGAAACGAGAAGGGATTGCAGCATGGCTACCCCCCTCAGGGGGTGATTTCTCACTTTCTGTCTCTCTGTCTCTCTCTATCTTTCTGGCGAGTGCATGCGCCCTATAGCAAAAACCTCTTCAAAAAAAAAAAAAAAGAATGAGAAGTTTGTTCTTGTGTTAAGGTTATTTTACCGTCCACCAATATCTGCTTTCATTCTTTGGAGGAATACTAAGCCTCTCCTCTCTTTGAAATTAGATGCAGCCATGGGACTAGCTTTGAGCAGAGTAACGTGTGGCACTTCCAGGAAGAAACTCTAACAATCAATTTCCTCTTTACGGCACTCCCCCTGCCCCCAGTTTGGTAACCACTAATACCCTATGTGAATATTATCTGTTTCATCAGCCGGGAGTGCAAACAACATTGATGGGAAACAATGGATCCATGTAACTCTCAATGGACATGTAGCACAAGTGAGAAAATTAACATTTTGATTTTCAACCATTGAAATGTTGGGGCTGTTTGTTATAGCAGCGCAATCCATTCCATCCTGACTCACATAGTCACCTCACTGGAAAGGCAAGTCAAGGGTATGGAGTCTACCATTTAATGCACAGTTATCAGGAGACTTCTGTACATCAAACACCACATTAGGTGCTATGATTACAGAAGACTAATATTTAGTACCGGCCCTCAAAGAGATTATAGTATAGAGGCATATAAATTAATAAACCGTATTGATGTTATAGTTTCCACTATTAACAAAGTGTACTATAGAAAACAGAAACTCCTGGGACCAGCAGTTGGCATAATGGCTATGTTGTTGAAATCTCATGTAGTTAACCACAGTTTGAGTACCGGGCCCAGTGGCTTAAACTCATGCCAGGCGCATGTGCATGCATGCCCAGGAATGGAGGAGAAGGGATTGGGGCATGGCCATCCCCCCTGGGGGGTGATTTTTCACTTTCCATCTCTCTGTCTCTCTCTGTCTTTCTAGTGAGCGCACATACCCTATAGCAAAAACCTCTCCATAAAAAACAAAAGAAAAGACGAAGAAAACAGAAATTCCTGAATGCTGTATCAGTCAAGGAACCAGCAAGCAATAGATGGTATGCTCAGCTGGAATTTTTGAAGAAACATTTTACAGAAGTGATCATATTTGAGATGTGGGCAAGTTAAAGGAGCCATAGGGATGCTGGGACATTTAATGGTCATCAACAGAGGAAAGTCAATCCCACTCTAGTCTGAAGAGATCAGGGTTAGAAACAATATTACCAGTCCCAGTGAGAGTTGGAATAATGGCAGGTGACTCCTATGTCAGTCATAGTTGTAGAAGGGTACATGTATTTCCAGCACTAGAGCAAAGCAGGGGGGGACCAGGAAGATGAAATACTCCAACTTCTTTCTTTTCCTGCTCTTGAATCTTCTGCCCATGCCTCTTATTGGCCAGATCCACCTAGAAAGTATAGGTAAGGACATTGGGTGATGACATCAAGGCAACTGGTAGAGGTCAAACTCCTTCCTCATCCTCAGAGTAGGGTGAAGAGGATCCTGAAGGGAAGCACTTGTAACAAGGTCAGAAAGAAAGAGAGCGAGAATGAATAATTACAGGAACAGTTGAAATGATTAAACTTTCCACACTTCCTAATATACACTTGGCAGCGAATCTATTTCAGTTAGTGCTTGATTTTGGCAATTCCACAGCAATAGAGTTTTAGATACAACGAATAGGCAGGCTGGTTTAAACAAAGTGATTCTTAGTACATAAATGCATTAACACCCTAAATCTTAGTTTACTGCTCTTTTTTTTTTTTTTTTAGAGAAAGAGGTTCTCCACTATTCCCAACACATACTGAATATTGACTATACAACTGTGGTAATCAAAATGTTCTTCGTTTGAAAACCAGTTTTGCTCCCTATGGGCTTTTATGACCTTGAGAAATTACCTATCCTCTCTAAAGCCTCAATTTCCTTGGTTGCAAAGTGAAAATTCTAAGCCCTGCCCTGTAGCATAATGACTAAGCCCTGGGCATAGGAGCTGGATCCCATATGCCAGACCAGTGACTTGCAAAACATATCAGACATGTGTGCCCCAAATCCTGATAGGATGGGAAGACAGAAGAAAAAGTGTTGTGGCATGATCACCCCTTAAGAGGGTGTGTTTTCTCTTCCACTCTATCTGCTGAGCATACTTGCCTTTAAATACACACAAACACACACACACTCACATTCTGTTCAATACAAGACATATTTAATGATGCATGGTGTTCGGTATGTAGGAAGGACTCCGAAAATAATATCCACTCATTCTTTGACTTCTTCCATTTATACCACTTTTTTTAATGGAAAGGCTATGGTTGGTAATGTTCCTTTGGGGGGACAATTGAAGCCATACATCTTGAAAAAAGGAGATGATTATCCTACAAAGGTCCATACAAGTGTTGAGTGTGTGAGGTGAGTCGTCCAAGTTCAGGATTGACTTTTTTTTTTACTTAAAATATTGATATTTCATGGAATTTTTGCAGTGGTTTGGTTTTTTGAAATATTACATTAAAATACTCATTAGTAGTCGAGTTTTCTTGGCTTTCCCTTTAATTTGGCACCCAAGGCAGTGCCTTGTTCGCATGGCTCTAGTCCCAGTCTACAACGCTTTGTACCGGTCACCCCTGACCTAAGTCCAGGCCCAGAGCAGCCAGAGTAGCCTGGAGAAAAGAGGCCACGCTCTCTGGAGTTCAGGCTTTTGCTTAGAACTCTTACCCCGCCCAGAAAAAAGAGTGGAGGGAGGGGACTACAGCTCCCAGGAGGCCGCGCGGCGCGGCGCCCTCACCGATTGGCTGTGCGGGCCCCGCCCTCGCCCCGCCCCTGCCAGAATGACCCGGAGCAGCGAGTCCCAGGCTAGTGCGCTCCTGAAGCGGGCGGGTTACCCGGCCGAGGCTCCCCCTGCACAAGCTTCATGGCGGCGCGGTCAGTGTCCCGGATGCTGCGGCGGCTCTTGAGGTCCAGCTCTCGGAGCTGCAGCTCAGGGGCTCCAGTGACGCAGCCCCGCCCCGGGGAGCCCTCGCAACCTGCCGCGGAGGTGAGCCCACCCCGCCCGCCTGCCTGCATCTACACCTTCTCTTGTGGGCCGGCCGGGCACACTGTCCCTACCCCGGGAAGCAGCTCTGGGGGACAGGACCAGTTCCGGGAGGGACTCCCGAGTCCTCAGTGCGGGGTGGAGTGATGTTCGTTCGGATTGCCCAGTCTCACCAGGTGGCCCGCGCGAGGGACTCTTAGCGTCTGGCTTCAAAACCTCTGTCCCCCAGCCATGCCTACCCTTCCAGGTCGGAGCGTTGTCCAGAAATGAGGGCGGAGGCTTTGGGTCCACTGAAGTGTTGTATTAGTACCCTTCAGTCTCTCCCTACCCCCTCAGTGGAGGTGTCTGTGGGTGACCTCGTGTCTCTGTGACACCTACTTCATCGTGTGACACTGACAGAATGTCACCGTGGCACTGCCAAAGTCAGTTGTCACTTGGGAGTCACAGGGCTCTGTGACCCGTCTTTTGCTGACTCTGTCACATCTCTGTTTCCCTCGGGAGGGTTCAGGCTCTTCCTAGAGCAGGACCTGAACTCTTGGATTCCTGCCTCTCTTCAGGGTGTGAGGTCAGATCCCTCAGTCCTTGACAGTGCCACTTGAACTATTTCAGGTTTTAACACGTTTTCAGTTTGTCATTCTTTTTCTCGTATGGTTTGAAAATCATTTGAAGGGAGATACATCTCTTTTCCAGAACCTATCAAGCCATTCTTTTCTTCCAGGAGGAGGTTTCTCAATCTGGAATTTATTAGATTACTGCCCCCTTCCCCCATATTGCTCAACGAGGGTCATGGCTTCTGCCTACTCTGCTCTCCCCAATTCTGAGGTTTTCTGGGAGCCTCAGCTAAGCAGGCCAGTTGTTGGGAAGTATTTTTCATAACCTCAAACTCTGACCTCCATCGAAGAAAAGATAGGAAAAACAAAGATGACAGATTTTTAAAGAATGCCAGAAAAGGAACATTTCTCCATCACTCCCTGCCCCCACCCCAATTTGGGGGGTATGTTTCATAAGAGGTCCCATACCAAGTAACTTTATGGTTTCAGTTAGTCCTCACGGTATGTCACGGGAAGTGAGTGAAGTCTGTATTTTCAGATGAGGGGCTTCATGAAAGCTAACTGCCCACAAGTCACAGAGCCTTACAGCTAGCAGGAACTCTGACACCTGTGCTCGGAGCGGGACTGCTGCTCCAGGTCACTTTCTGCTATGAGGGGAGGTGCAATGGAACTGGAAGAACGTGGGCTCTAGGGCCGAGTTTGAATCCCGGTCCCTCCCTTTCTTAGGTGCCTGAGTTTCTGCAGATCCTTTTTGCCTCTCAGCTCCTCTGTTTTCTCCTATGTAAAGTGGGAATCATAGTGTCTACTTTAGAGAATGTCAGAAAGATGCAGAGAGTTCATTTAGGCTTAGAACAAAACCTGGCACATGCGAGTACTGTCATGTAAATATTGTGGTTATTATCCTTGCTGTCATTGACACATGGGGTGCCCTTAGTCTCCTCCCATCTGGACATGCAGGATGGCCGTTGTGTCAACTATTGGATCTCAGACATTCCATTTTGGACATCTTTGATAGGGCCTTCCTCAGTCGACTGGGAACTCCTGAAGGCAGAGTATTCCTCTGACTTATCCACAGTGCTTACCAGAGCTGTGCAGGTAGTGGAGTCAAATACCTTGGGCAGTTACAACCCAATTAGCAAGGAACACGTGGAAGAGTGGAGCACTGGGCAGGGAGCCCCATGTTTTCACTGTTGCTCTGCTGCTAGTTTCACCTGGTGCCTGGGCTGTCACTTCTCTGGCTTCATCTATAAAACCAGAGGGTTGGGCCAGTCGTCCTTTATGCAGTGGGGGAGGCCACAGAAATATGCCTTTTTAAAAGATATATACATACTTTTAAGAATTATTTGTTATTGTTATTTTTTACTTTGACCAGAGAGAGAGAGAGAGAAAGGGAAAGTGAGAAGGCAAGCTTGCAGGTCTTGGACTTGAACCATGGCTGGCCACATGAGAGTTCAGCACCCTAACTACTATACCACCTGCCGGCCCCTACAAAAATGTCTTTAACAGAATCTCAGAGGTATGATGAGTCTGCTCATTCACAGAGCCTGCCAGTTGGCAGGAGCTAGGGAGGGAGTATCTAGAACCCCTGTCCTCACTTTCCTTCCTATAGGTCCCTCTCCCCCTTCCCCTACAGGGAGACTGGTAGACTGGTTTGAGATAGGACCTTGGACAGACACTGGGCAGTGTGTGTGTGTCAGAGTGTGGTGTGAGATGAAGATCCGAGGTGTAAGTGGGAGTTGTCTATAAAGACAGAGGAAAGAGGGCCTTGCATTGGTTCCAAGGACAGGTTGAGCAGTTTCTGCAGGTGAAAAGGGGACAAACATAGTGAGCAGCGAAGAGGCGGATCAAGGAGACACAGTGACCTGCCATTTTGGCTGGTGTGGCTCACACAACCTTCTCTGCAGGTTTAGCCTAGCCTGAGAGCAGAATGGCCCTCTTTCTCCCTGTTAGGGTCTGTGCAGGCACTGTTGAGACAATGAGGGGCTGGCATGAGGCCCTGGGCCTGCTGCCTGTGGCCAGAGTAGGGGAGAGAGTGATCTGGGAAAGATTCAGGGGACCAGAAAGAAAAACTACTGCAAGGGGGTGATGCAGGAAGGAAGTAGGTATGGAATAAGATGGAAGACAGCAAGGTTTAGTGTGGAGGAGTGAGGGAAAGGAGGCATTTCAGGGTGTCATTTTGACTTCCAGTTTGCCTTCCTCCTCAAAATCAATGTTTCAGTGAGGACGACTATCCTTGCCAAGAGCCATAGGAATGAAGACTTGACACTTAGAGGAGGGATCAGGAGAGAAAGACAGAGAACCAGGCCTGAAACTGGGCACTTTGCTGGGTCCTCTAATTTAATAGAGAATAATTGTGAGGGGCCCTTGGTCTACACTATTCCAATAGCAAGTAAATCAAGGCCACCGACATCTGAGTTTGGAATGTCCTCTTTTTCTCCTGAATAACCTTGCTATTCTGTCTACACTTTCGAACTAGTTGGGGCCTGGCCTTTTCCATTCAAATCAAATGCCCAAGGATAGTTACTACCTACTAGGGGAAGGCACTCCAAGGACAGGTGTCCTCACCTAACTCCTTTGTCCCACCCTCCCCCAACCCCTTCACCCCAATCTACCAGATAGACAAGAGATAACCGGTAGCATGTGGCAAGCTGCTTAGTGCCTGAGTACTAGCCCTAGTACTGGTGGTCCTGGGAAAGCCCAGCTCTGCTTGTCCTGTCTGGGTGATGCGCAGCAGGACCAAAAGCTCCAGCCTTGCACCTTCTTCTGCTACTGGTAGGTTAGGCTCTTTCAGGACTAGAAAGTTGACACAACTCCTCCATGAATATTTGTCAAATGAATGACTACACATAAGAATGACACGAACATAACAGAATTACTTATTGAATACCCACTGTATGCCAGAAACTCCTCCAATTGTGTCAGGGTTATCCCTATTTTATAGATGAGGAAACTGAGGTTTAGAAATTTTAGCCAATTTGCTCAGTAGCTAGAGCCAGGTTTTTAATCCAAGTTTACCTAGTCCAAAGGCTGTGCTCAGAACCACAGCAACTACCCCAAGGTTAAAACAGCACCCGATAGTGGGTATTACTAGGCCAGCGTTCTCACCCCTGGCTGCACAGGAGAAAGCTGATTCAATGAATCAGTCTCTGGGGAGGGACTCTGTCCTCAGGACTTCATAGAAACTCTTTAGGTGACTTGGCAGTGCTGACTGGGTTGAAAACCACTGTGCACTGGGTTAAACCTTTACACAGTAGAGACCAGCCTGGAAGTGACTACTCAATGTGACTAGACACCTTTCTCTTTAGTTTTGGGATGGGCTTCTTTGTTCACCGACACAGTGGTGCCACACTTGGTACCCATGTACTGTGCCAGACACCGTACCAGGTGTCTGGAGGGTACCAGGCAGGCAGGAGGGCTTGCCACAGAGAGGAAACATCCCATCCCAGCCTGGCCCTGAGAACACGAGCAGCTCAGGGCCTCCGCTACCCCTGACATGCCAGCCCTTCCTGGGCGAGCAAAATTGCTGATTATCTGTCCTATCATTCCCTCTGAATCCTGAGTTCTATTGGTACGTATATATTTTTTTCCTTCAGGTCATTTAAGGGAAAGGAAGAACAGTGGAAAAAATGAAAGTAGGACACGCAGCGTTAGAGGAGAGAAGAGGCAGGAATGAGGCTTGTTAAGATCCAAGTGATGAGTTTGCATGGCTGTCCGGGTGAGGGGTGTGTGTGTTTCGGAGGCTGGGCTGGTGGTGCAGTCTGAAGGGGTCTGGATAAGGTTGCTGGAGTTCTTGGAAGTGAAATCTGGTCAGCCCCTCCAGGGGACAGAACTAGGGCTTGACCCCATTCCAGTTGCTCCACCTCATTGCGTGCGCTGGCTTTCTGCTGAGTCACGCTTCTTGGTCCTGTCACCTGACCCCAATTCCTGGATTTAATTTGGCTCCTCCCTCCTCTGGCATCCCCTCCTCACAGTATCTTAAGAATAGGTGAGGGAGGCTTCTTGGCAAGTGAAGAAGTCCAGTCTAAAGTGACTAACAAAGGACAGAATTGCAGATAGCTGTGGATAGGAAAGAGGGTGTAGATTCCTGTGAACCCAGGTTCCCAGGTATGTCATCTCCTGGGCTCTGGTCGCAGGTAGGATTCTCGATTATGAGGTCCCCTGCCCTACCTGCCAAGGCTACCAGAGAGTTTTCTTCACCTCCCACAGGGAGGGAGGATTAGAGCACTCTGCAATTTAGAGAAGTGCCTGCTGCCTACGCCCATGGGCCTGCAAGCACAGGTCCTCTGAGGAGGGGAGAAACTGGTCTTGGGAGGGTAGAGTGAGGAATGTTTGATTTAACCCAGGAAAATCATGGGAAACCACCATTCCCCCCACACACACACACACACACTCACCATGTTGCTTCTATTTTTGGGTCAGTCAGTGGCCCTTGACCCTTGTTGCACATAGAAATCACCTGGAAAGACTGAAAACACAACAGCTCCAGAGATCTGGATTTGGTTGGTTTGGAATATTTTACCTTAAAGCTTCCCAGATGGTTCTGACATGCAGCCTAGGCTGAGGAACTTCAGGAAGAGATGTTTCTCCCACCTGGGTATAGGCAGAGTTCCCTGGACCTCTGGAGGGCCTGAGCCTTCTGTTCTAGGTGTTCACCTACCAGCTTTTGAGCTCACTCCTGCCTTTGCCCATGGGAGGACAACCTTAGCTCCTAACTGTATTCTTATTATACGACTGGGAAAACAGGACCCGAGAATTCTGTGAAGGACTTCCCCAACCCTCCTGGATGACTACCAAGGTCATGATTTCTTTGTCCTAAAGGCTCCAGAGAGGTGACTTCTCTCCAACCTAGTCAGCATCCTACCTTCTTTTCTTGGGCTCTCCTTGTGTAAAGGAAACAATTTAGAACTTAGAATCAGGAGACTTAGATTTGAATCCTGGTTCTACTAAGGGCGTTCCTGGACCCCATCCAAGCCTTAGTTATAATAATCCCTTACTAGGTGGGTGTGGGAATCGAGCAAAGAACATTCTTTGAAAACTTTGGTAAATGTTACTTTGATGGAGCAATTATCTCATCAGCATCTGTCAGGACCAGGGCTATGCTCTAGAAGAGAGAGCGATGAGGGGATAGATCAGACTAGACCAGACATGGGACAGAGTGAGGCTGGTTCCTCCTTTATCTCCTCCAGATGAGTTAGACATGGCTTGGAACCTCTAGCAATTACAATCCTAGTCTCTTCTCTTTAGGCCCCAGACAATGCGTGCATAATCTTTCCTTCGGGTACTGGGTAGAGTTTGAATGTAAGGACTACAGAAAGAGTCCTTGCCCCCACCTTGCTGCCCAGCCAGTGGGCCCCACCCCAGCTGAGTGCCTAGTGGGTGGTCCTTCCCTTCAGACCTGTTTCCCAACCCGTAAATGAGGACCGTCCTAGCTCCCTCAGGATTGTGGGGCCCAAATGTGTGGAAAGATGAGATAGGCTGGACAAACGTCAGGTGAGGAAGGGATTCTTTGGTCTCTGGGGCAATCTCCCTTCTCCCCAGCTGGTTCCCCTAGACCTGTCTCCTGCATGGGGGCAGAGGCCACCCTTCCTCCCTGGCTTGTCTTCGCAGGCACTGTCCAGGCGGAGGCAGTTTCTGCAAGAGCACACAGCCCCCTTCTCGGCCTTCCTCACTGACAGCTTTGGCCGGCAGCACAGCTACCTGCGGATCTCCCTCACCGAGAAGTGCAACCTGCGATGTGAGTCCCCTTCCCGGCCCTCTCGGGGCTGCTGTCCCTGTCCTGAAGCTGTCTCTGAAATGTCCCCATGCCCAGAAAGCCTCCTCAGTCTCCTGAGACTGCTCTCTACCTTCCCCACCCACCTGCTCTTACTTGCCAGGCCGGACAGGTTTAGGTGTTAAGACTGGGTTATATGAATGTGGAAGCCGAGTTCTACTTGGGATTAGACTTGAGAACAACTCGCCCCTGGGATTAGGATTAAGATTGGCTGCTGGACCTCTTCTGCTCAGGGCTCTTTCTTCCTATTTCTCTGCAGTGCCCAAAGTCCAGGATATGGCACTGGGTGGACATTATAAACAAGTGAAACAGAGGGCAGTGCCTGTGGCCTACACTGCCAGCTGTGGTGACACTCCAGTCCCATAACAAACCTGCCAGGGCCAGGTTGATACACAAAGTACTCATTTCATAGTCTTGTGCAAGGAGCGCTCTGGACATGCAGCCAGTGCTGGGGCGGACTTCCAAAGTCGGATCTTTCTTCCCTTCTTTCCCCCTTTTCCCCTACCTCCTTTCATCTCTTTCCCCCAAATCTTCCTCTCTTTTTTCCTTTCTTTCCCTTCTTGTTCTGTACCTCACAATAATAAATCTATCTATTTTATGGCTCAGTAAATGCACATATGTGGGTTTAGTTGCTATTTAACCGAATAAAACACATTATATGTGATACATTCTGATAGTCTCACCTCATTTCAATCTCGAAAGAAAAATTCTGGGCCAATTCATTCGTCTGACTCCACGACCCTTTAACAGAGCTTGACCAGTCCTTAAGAGAACTGTGCTATAGGAAGTGAGGGCTCAGGGTGCTGCCCTCCCTCACCACAGCTCATTGACCTAATTCCGCCACCTCACCCTGATCAAGTAGCACCTCAGATTTCTAACCTGTAGCTTCAGAGAGCAGCTTTGACTACGCGGGGAGTGCTTCCTGTTAACCCCCTGGCACATGCAGAGAGAGGTGATCATTGGCCACAACTTAATGAAATGTAGGAGGGTGAGTGGTGCCAAGAGGAACTGGCCCAGGGCCCCAGCCTTTCTAGGCAGGCCCTACCTGTCTGCCTTTGGGCTGAGGGAGCCAGTGTTTAGCATCCCTCTCCCTCCAGCCAAGCTCTGCCCTCAGCCTCCTTCATTATCCTTAATGCACACCCTCAGCCACTCCCAAAGGATGTTAGATGAGAAAGGAGGGGGTGCTAACAGAGATGAGGAGGGCGAGATCCTGAGAGACTCTGGCCTTGGGTTTGTACTGGGATTTGGTGAGGTCTCTACTCACTGATTGGGAGTGGGCAGGAAAACCTTTGGTCTGGTGGGAGTTGGAGAGGAGCACCACGGGCCTGCCAGCCGTGCCCATTCCCTACCTCCACACCCTCTTCCTCCCCTCAGGCCAGTACTGCATGCCCGAAGAGGGTGTCCCACTGACGCCCAAGGCTGACTTGCTGACCACTGAGGAGATCCTGACCCTGGCCCGGCTCTTTGTAAAAGAAGGTGTCGACAAGATCCGGCTCACGGGTGGGGAGCCGCTCATCCGGCCTGACGTGGTGGACATCGTGGGTGAGTTGGGTGGAGGCCTGTGCTGCGTCCCTCAGCCCCTGGCACCGCTGGCTCCACTGTTGTTAATACGGGCAGCAGTGTTTACAGCGTGTGCTCACCTAGCCCTCCAGCTCCCTCTGAGACAGTGGTCATCATTGCCATTTTTACATGAGAAGGAGACAGAGGGGTTCAGTAACTCACCCAAGGCCACAAAGCTGTTAAATGCCAGATCCCAGTGACTGCCCATCACCAGGCCTACGTGCCCTGGCTTCTGCTGACTTCTGTGACCTCCCTCCTGCCCCTCTGCCTCACCCCTTCTCTCTAGTCATGCTGCTGGGCCTTTGCACTTGCTGCTCCCTGTGCCAGCAGCTCAGGGCTCCCTGCTTAAACCTTGCAGATCTCTGCTCAGTGAGGACCTCTTGACCTCCCTAAGGAAAGTGTCTCCCTGCTTATACACCCAATCACTCTCTCCCACAAGTCAGCAAGTCTCAGCCACATGGGGCAAACCTGGGCTGACACCTGGTATTGCATGACTTAGAAGCTGAGAACAGATTTTATATTTCCAAATGATGGAGGAAAATATTAAAATGCATTTTCTACCTCATGGAAATGATACCTAATTATTGGAACAGAGCCACACTCGCTCATTTGCATATCGATTGTGGCTGCTTTTTCAGAGTTGAACAGTTGCCTCAAAGACCAGGTTGCAAAACTGGCTGGCAAAGTGAAGATAGTTACCGTGTGGACTTGCACAGTAAAAGTGGCACACCCCCCATCCCTCACTCTATTCCCTGTGCCTTACCTGTTTTTCTTCCCAGCATGTATCTCATTCTGACATGTTACTTGGTTGTGGAGTTTTTTAAATTGTCTGTCTCCATGAACTAGCATGGGAGCTCGGAGGGTCTAGGCAGGTCTGTTCACTGCTGTGTTCCCATCCCTAGAACTGTGCCTGACACACAGTTGTGCTCATGGATGTTTGTCGAATGAAGGACGAATAGGGCAAGTCTCAGTTTCTGCAGTTTGACATGCCCCTGTTTGACTCTGTGTCTCTTACTAGCAGGAGGTCTTTGGGCAACTTTAAAAATTCATACTCAGCCTTGGAACAGTGATAATATGAGGGGACTCTGAAAAGTTCCTGGAAAAGTGGAATTACAAGTTTATTCTGGTGCATAAAAATCTGGGAATCCCCCCATTTTTCCTAACACACATTTACCACGAAGTTTTTGAAGACTCCTTGTACTTACTCTGCGGGGTTGACCTGGAAGGAGATGGGGTAGAATGCCCAGCATGTAGCGGGTACTCTCTAAGAGGTTGCCCTGCAGAGCTTCTTGCCATGTGCTACTTCTAAGCCCCGAGATCAGGCCATGAGAGACCTTTGCTCATGTAATTACAGATGATGAAATCAGAGGAAAATAAGTTTCACAGTTCTTGATTCCTGCCCGCCCTCCCTCACAGCTGCTCCGCCTGGGCTCTCCCATCTCCCTCAGCAATCAGCCTCTACTGGTTCAATAAACATTCTCCAGAGGGCCTTTTTACGTGCCTGTGCTGTGCTGGGACACAACGGGGAGTGAGCTGCTGGCCGACAGGCCACAGGAGGAAGCAGCTGCAGGAGTGGGACTGACCAGCCACGTGGCAAGGCTGAGCAAGCGCAGAAGCAGCCCAGGACCCCCGGCAGCCCTCTTCTCCCCACTTTCCCATGGCCAGCGGCCTCCAGTCCCCACTGGCTCCTTCACCCAGGATCCTGCCATCATGCCTGTGCTGGACAAGCTGGCCAGGCAAGCTGAGCCGCTATCTGGGCAGCTCCTTGGCTGAGAGGCAGGCCAGCTTCCTG